CCCAAACACCCCAAAATATAAATTATAGTCACAAGTAATGTGAAATAAGCACATTAGTCACCCTTTGGGCTTCATAGGAATAAAATTAATTAAGGATTTATATACAAAGAAATATATGTAACAATGTTTGACGCTGAGTGTATGACGTCACAGACTCCAAAAAATAATCGTAAAAATATCATACTTTCGTCCTGAATACCGAGAAAACACTTCATACAGTGATTATTGGACCTTTAAAGAGTATTCTTAGGAAGTTTCAACTGAATCCAAGTTTGAGCGATTTTCGTCAGAGTAGCACTTTAAAAACAAATGTCCTTTCCATAATAATTGTATTTATTATAGGTTACAATCATGAAACTCAGTTAATAATGTCAGATCATGATAAGCTGTAAGCTATTTTAGATTGACAAAGATGCCGTACCCTTTTAGCATCCATCCAAGCACAGAGTGCCTCAGCTTCACCAGCACTTTCTACATAGGGTATTCCAAGTAGTTTAAGCAAAGTTGTACACTGGAATCAAATACAATATCTTTATTTATTTGTACAATTACATTGACAAGAGCATAGAAAACATATTTAGAAAAAAAAATTGGAAAATAGCAAGAAAGGAAAGACGTGGAGATTTATTGTATAGAACGGTCTGAACCTAGGTGAATGAATGTTAATCGAAGTAATATGATCATCCGGGTGGATGTAGTCCTGAGAAGGACTGTTTGATGTGACTGATGTTTCAACAACCTGAGCGGAAGTCATCTTCAGAGTCAAGTGAAGCTTATTAGAAACAATAAAACCGCCCACAACACCGAAACAGTGACTTGCACTCATTAGACCGATGCAGCCAATTACACTTCTTCATGTAATTAGGCTATTGTTACCGTGGCAGTATAAATATGACCAATCTGACTTTTATTCTTCACTTGACTCTGAATATGACTTCCGCTCAGGTTGTCGAAACGTCAGTCACATCAAACAGTCCTTCTCAGGACTACATCCACCCGGATGATCATATTACTTCAATTAACAGGGGAGATTTACTAAAATAGAAGACTTATAAATAGACCTCAATCTAGCCTGGATGTAATGTTTTCCCTTTTCAGACCAAATGTCATTTTCTTGAGAATACAGAAAGATTCATTGTTCGAGTTGTATCCATATATTCATGTGCCTTCCCATGTGCAACCATTAAAGACCCATTGCCACTTACCGTGATGCATCACAATTTGTTTACATTTTGAATCGTGTCACCACTGAAAAAAAAAATTCTAACCTTTTGAATAAACTCTTAAAAGAATGTAAAAGAATCATTATTGTGCCTTAGTGCTATGTCGGAAAAGGATTTAATATGAAGTTATTATTCAATATATGAATCTTTGAATTTCATGGACCACGAAATTCATCTGTGACCGCGGTGCATCACGGTAAGTGGCAAAGGGTCTTTAAACAAATAAAAAACACTCTAGAGAATGACACATGGTCTGAAATATGAATTCAAAACATTATGCCCAAGCTAAAAAGATCTATTATGAGAAAAATAATGAAATATAGAAGTTTACCACCTTCCATACATCAGTTCACTGGTCAAACACAAAGCATTCAATCAAGGCTGCGAGTTAGTTTTTAAAGGATTATTAAAGGAAATTTGAACCTCACAGCCTCAGTTGAATGCCTTGTATTCGACCAGTAAAAGTAGATGTATGGAAATTGGTCAGTATTGCTGATATTATAGCACAAATAACTCACCTCATTTACCCAGATCCTAAAATTCGATCGTCCTACTTTTTTCCTCTGTCCTTTGGCCACCCCCCTCCCTCTTCCTCTAYCCATTCCTTTATTACCCCATCCATCATAAGCATGGCGAGCTTCATTCCTCTTAACAATAGCTTCCCACTTCACTTCAGGCGCATCCCCATCAACCACAAACACTAACTTCACTCCAACTCGAGTTAAATTCCACACACGAAAGAATAAATTCCTGAGGTGAGGTTTCAGGATATTGGCTTTGAGTCCTTTCGAACCTTGTGCTTCACATATCCAACCACTTAAATCCACACATAACGTCTTTCCCTTCAGCGATGCCAGGTCTCCTTGACGTTTCACCGGTTCTAGAATATTCCATAGTTGTGTAACTCCCATCGTAGCTGGAATTAGGCCATTTTGATTAATTTTTGACGTGATTTTTCGAATTAAGATGAAGAAAAATTTTGTCGTATGAAAATAGAATTTTGATTTCAGGCGCGTAGAACCCAGTCTCTCTCAGTTTTGCATCGCGTGATGTATTATGGGTAGTTTTTGTATGATCGAACAAGAGAAAAGCCGGCATTTTTCTTTCCAAAATTATTAAAAAATAAGAAACATATTTTTGGAAAGTTAAAGCGTTATAGTATTTAGTGCTTCCAAGATATGAAGGATTAAAGGAAGGACTTTACTGCTGAATTTTGCAGTCTGGACTAACCACAGGTAGCCCAAGGCTCTGTTTGTGTATCAGGAGATAGAGAACATATGGACAAAAAATTCATTGGAAAAGGGAACTCCTTAAGGTATGCAATTTTCTTTTTTTGCGAAATCTTCAAGGACTTGAACGCGTATTTGCAATTGAATAGTTATCCTAAACTTGCGTATACCGAATATACTTCATGGAAAAGAGCGTTTACCCATGGGCGACACCGAAGCTATTTTGGGTCTGCTGGTCACAGCAAGGGGTTAATCATCTACGGCCTAGGGACCGACTAACCTCTCCCTTAGGCTTTGACCGAGCTTCCTGATCAGTCTGTAAATCCAGGGATAGCGGTGTCGAGGCCGAAATCTCCGGCGTAGCCGTAAATGCTTCGCGCTGCCCGCGACGGTTCAGCACTCTATGTCTGTCGAAGTATGGTCCCAAATTATATCAATTGATATAAACATTTCAAAACTGGAATAATAGAGTGCTTACACTATATGTCCATGAAATAAAATCTAAATAGTTACTACCTAACAGTTTTTATTTAGCGACTATTAGTGACTATCACTCAACTGGAACAGCTTTAGTAACAATACACAAAGTATTATCTTTCTATAGTCTTGAGTATTTGATCTCCCTTGTGTATTGTTAGGTAGTAACTATTTAGATTTTATTTCATAGATATAGTGTAAGCACTCTAAGGGACTGCTGACCACAATGAAAACTTCAAGTTATTAAAATAAGAACGTTTAATCATTTACCCGCAGTATGCTTACGCACCAGGCTTGACGCATGTCTAAATTTTATAATGCTGCAACCAAAACTAGCCAGAGACCCACAGATGTGCCATCTAAATTTGTTTAATCTAAACCTACTAACAGTCGTCTATCACGAATAGTTCGCGCTCTTTGATTGGCTCAGCTACTAGTTATAGACCACTATCTAGCTAAATCTGCTAGCTATAGCACTCGGGAAATGTTGGTTTTTAATTAAGACCAGAAATTAAAAACGGTCTCATGTTTTCAACCTATAGATATTTGTACCCATTTATTTGACCTAGTAGGTTAAGACTAAAATAATTTCAACCTTCGGCTGAATGTGGTCTACGAGTCAATAGCCCATGAGGCCGAAGGGCCTAATTGATAAATAGTCACCCGATCAATCTCTGTTTGGCAATGTTATAGTCCCGGCTCTAGCGGAGCCGGCATATACAGTCAATTCAAAAAACGTTGTCGTCGACCAACTCAAGCCTACGCGACTCGACCGAAAGGAACTCTGGGTAGCAAAAATTGAGGCCGAGTCGACTGCAGTAGTTTTATCTGACTAGTTATGCTTGGTTTACATGCAGCACGAACCTTCGTAGGCGAGCGGGAAGTGTTGAAGGAGACGTATCTTTAATGCCTTCATATTTTCGAAATTGTGAACTGAATCATAACTACTTTGTTTTTCTTTTCCTAAACCCAAAGACATGCATTTGATTGATTGTTTCTCGCCAATATTATCTTATTACTAGCGGGAACAATTAATAATTCGCAGAACGAATATTTAACTGCTTCAGTGATTTTAATCCATATTCCCTTTCGGTCCAGTCGCGTACGTAGGCTTGAGCCGGTCGACAACAACGTTTTTTGAATTGACTGTATACCAGAATTTGTTGCACGCTAGGTTACATATGTTGCACTTGGGGCTACAAAATACAGTTACATTGCTTTAACTTTTGAAAATAACCAGCGTTATGACACAACTTTGTATGATGATCTCACTAGCTCTTTGCAACGGAGTTTTAACTACTTAAATATATATAAATGACGTAGAATAATAAGATTTAATAGTATATCGAAGTGAATAAAGTCGTAATGGGACTGGTTTTTCTGGAAAGCTAGCGCACCAATAGAAGAGCTGCGGGTCTTGAATCACTCGCTTAGATCGGTTATATGATTTTTTAAACTTTAGTTTGTGATTAGATCATCTATTGATGGTACAGCAGGGGATCCAGAGGAGGGTGCAGGGGGTGCGCACCCCTCCCTGGTTCGACTTTGTGTCCCTACTACGAAGATAACCAATACTTTTTTCCTTTGATTCTAAGGGGTGCACCCCTCCCTGGGTTAACTTTGTGCGCAGCACTCCTCCCTGAACAAAATACTGGATCCGCCCCTGTACAACGTGTGTTACCACGTGCATAGACGCTTTTCTGATAGCCAGCGCAGTGCATTCTGGTCTTTTATGGTGTGAACACTATATATAAGAAACCTAATGAATAACAGGTGTTTGCACCCAAGCTATAGCAGAATGAATCTCGTATCTATATATTCTCGATTTCTATTTATATGGGTTGTAATTGACTGGTTTGTTAAGGTGCTGACACATGGTGCAACATTGCACGCAACATTGCAAGCAACAAATTTGAATCGGGGTGACACCACATTGCAACAAAATCATGCAACATCGCTTGTGTCAGCCTGCTATGTTAAGTGATATTTGGTCAGAAGTTATAAATTTGGTGCAAGCTGATTGGCTTGAAATTTCAAAATGTTGCAGGTAATGTTGCAGCCATGTTCATGTGATGAAATTTGTTGCGCGCTATGTTCTTCAGATTTGTTGCATGCAACGTTGTGTGCACCAAGTTTGGGGTAGACACAGGCTACAAAAGTCCTGTTGCGTGCGATGTTGCATCGAGTGTCAGCACCTTTATTCTCGACAGTTTGAGGGGCATGCACTTTACATAAGTACAATAGCTTGTTATCCTTCACTGCACATGAAAATTATTGCGTTTATGCAAAGTGCCCCTCAAATCTGATGCAAAGCTCTATGGGTTGTAAGAAACCTGAACAGTCAGTTACCATGCGTTGCCAATAAGCCTGAAGCGAGATGACGTTTTACCCCCGACTCTATACCATAATAGTTTTTAAAATTCTTTCATATTAAAATTTTTGATTCCTTAGAGAATACAGGAACAATAGTCATAATTAAAGAACAAAAGCAGTGTGAAAAGGATTATGGTCTAGAGACGGGGGTAAAACGTCATCTCGCTTCAGGCTTATTGCCTAGTTCCATGTGGATCAGTGAAACCGATCCCATGCTACAATGTTGTCAGAGTATAATGCCTTAAGGGCATGGCAGGAAGGGTGTGGAGGGGGGGGGGGGCTTATTGACGATTATTAGTAATTGTATTTCATTTAACACTTGACAAAAGTGGGTTGTGGGTTGTGTCTTGTGGTTTTCTAAAGCAGGGCCCGGTCGTACGAAAAGTGAATAGCGCTATATATATCCGGCGGATACATGTTATCCCATTGATAAATTTATTGAACAACAGCATATACTTATCCTATGGTTAAGGAATTATCCGTCGGATAGCGCTATTCACCCTTCGTATAACCGGGTCCAGGACTATCTAGCTATAAATGAGCTCAACCCTTGTTACAGACACCGAGTAACAGCCCCGTGGGTGTCCGCTGTAACGAGAGTCGACTGGATGGGTCTGGTGTTTAAAACAAATGCATCCCCATGGYCTCCACCACCTCAAAATCTTCATGTCGTAGTTCAGGTGAGTCTTGTAAGGCAAGGAATATGTCTGATACGACTACCTCTATCTTGGCATTGGACTTGAGGTTGACGGTAACGACATGTGGAAGACTGCAAGAAGACACAAGTCATCATTACTAAACCAGGGTGACAACGTACGTGGTAGTGGTTGGAGATATTTCAGGTAATTCACGTACTGAAGCTTTTCTAGTGAGGGGTTAGGTAAAAATAGTAGGTCGGCCCGAAATTTTGGTGGTGCACAGGATTATTACCAGCTACATGAGCACACATCCATGTGTGTTGAGTTTATTTGAAGTATTATCTCTTGTGCCAACTGTTGTTTTTATCCGGGTTCTCCAATTTTCTTCCCTTCGTAAAAATCAACGTGTGAATTGAGAGTCGTATGCAAAATATTTAATGTAGTGGTAGTGGGTGTGTGAGTGACAGTGGGCCAAATTTAGAGTTATTGTCATGGGTTTGAGGAAGAATGTGATTCTACGTGCCCGCGAGAAAAATGGGACCTAGCAAAAAAAGGGACACTTCTTTTTTTGCTCGGTTTCAATTTTCGCTCGTTCTAAATTTCCAAAGTTCCCCCAAAACCCAGGTTTTCCCCGGCCCAAACCCACAAGAACACCTGCTTTGCAAGCTAGGCCAAATTAGAAACCAGTAAACTGACATATATACTGAATTTGTATCCCACTATTTTTTTWAAAAAATTTTTTTTATTCAGAGGGATTATTAATTTATTTAGCGTTTACTGGGGTATATTTATCCCAACGCTCACCTCATCAATTTCATCGCCGACTCGGCAGTCAGCTCCCTCGTACCGTTGCAGTACTTGTTGTAAAAGTCCTTGTGCTCTTCTGGTATATCTGTCCTCGGTTTTGCAGCGCTTTTAGCAACTGTGTTTAACCAATAGAAATTCAGGGCTTCCAGGGCCTCTGCTTCATCTCTATCTACCTCTTCTACAAATAATTTGAGAAGAAAAAGTTAGCATTAATAGTTAGTTAATCGATACCGTCCATGAAAAAATGGGCGGGAAAACTCACAGATGTAATTAGAAGTTTAAGTATAGGTTAGGTCTCGTGGAGGGAGGAAAAGTGCTTATTAGATAGTGGGGGAGGGGAGGGGGAGGGTGTGACAATTGTGATGCATGTTGGCAATACTAACCTCCAAGGAAGTCGTACAGAAACGAATCTCTTGGACCTGTCAACAAAAAACATATCAGATGACCATATGGAAACCATGCACATGTTATAATGCCTGATACTGTGTCCATGGACTATGCATCGTAATAGCGACCTCTTTAGCTTGAGCGTGATGTTTTCCCCATTTTCAGACCACCCTGTCTCTAAAAACATTTCTTTAAATTTGTTGCGCATGATCGAAAAGATACATGAATTTACCAGTTTTTGTTTGTAATCACATTGTGGGACAATCACAAACGCAACCCTCAGATCCATGCTAGTTGAGAACCCAGGATCAAATTGGAATTTAGAAGTTGATTTTTGCGGAGGGAGGAAAACCGGAGAACCCGGAGAAAAACCCTCGAAGCACAGGAGAGAACTAACAAACAACTCTACTCGGGGCTCGAACTCAGGTCGCATAGGTGAGAGACGACGCATAAGAAGCGCACGCCACCCGTGAATTTATATGGATACAACTAGGCAATTCAATCAAAGGATTTTTGATTTCTGAAATGGGAAAACACTACGCAAGCTAAAGACTGGTTTACCATGTATTTCATTTTATTTTTCATAAGTGTGTTTAAATTGAATAATGCCTCCAATACTCGATTTGCTTTTATAATTGATTTATTTAGTTATTCACTGTCCCCTAAATAAAATATAAATAAACAAATTGTTTTGTTTTATTTACAAAATTTGGCCCACTGTCACTCCCACACACCACCACTACATTAGATATTGTATATGCAATTGATAAGAAATTCATAACCTTCCTATAAGTGAACAAGGAAAAGCTTTCGTCAAAATAAAAAGGATTGATCCTTGATCCACAAAAGTTCAGATGTTTACTGATGACCCTTCCCTCTGACTAGCCGCGGCCTTCTCCCCCAATAGAAAAACGTACATTCTCTTAGTCAGTACGTGTACTCCTATCGAAGGATGACAATATTTTACCTTTGCTGCCAACAGAAATGCTTCGCTTGCCTTCGATTGTCGCCCACATTTGCTCAATTTCTTTGATTTCATCTTTCAACGACCTCGAACCCACAACTTAAACAAAAGCCACATAATTATCTAACAGATATATCAATTAAAGTTAAGACAGACACAGAGACGTGAATGCTTTCTCTTTCATCCTCTTTATTCTGCATAAATGCCTTGGGCTCCACTCACAGTTTTTCTATACTCGCGATGATACTTGCGACCATGATTGATGCATTGATTGCATAATTAAAGTTAAAGCTCTCTCGGGGATACATAGTGTAACATTGCGCGCAATATTGCAGACAATGCTGCTGAAGTAGAAAATAGAATTGTTTTCCACTTCAGCAACATTATATTGCGCGCGTGCAAAAAATGGTGTCGTGTGACAGGGCTCGCAACATCGATATTGCCTGCACCATGATTGCGCGCAATGTAGCATCCGCCGTATACGTCTATTAATGGTAGAAGTTATTTTCAATCAGCCTTGAAAATCATTTATAAATGTCGGATCTAAAATAATTCAAAATATCAAAGTAAATCATATTCCTGATAATTACTTTAGCGATGGAGTAATACATCGAAGAATACGGCGAAGCGCTTTTGAAAGTGGGCTTTGACGAACATGATGCTTGTAAATTCTCCACTATCCCCGATGCACATTTGCATATTCTTTGGGTGCATGTTACGTCATGGCCACCATGTTGGTTGACGATAACAACTTTAACATTAATCATGAAGCTTCTCTCGTACTTTTTCGTGTTAGATCAACCGAGATGGCGGCGGTTTCATTGTTATTTATAAGTCGAGGGATTTTTCGGTCACGTGGTTTCACTCCAAGAATATTTGTGTCTGGGATAGTGGCAGACCCCACAAACATCATAATCATATAATAATTATTATTCATTATGATGATATACAAACTACATATCATGATCGCGTACCTACTGCATCGTCCTTTCTGTTCAAGCCAGTATTTTGCATATCTTCCTCAGCAGCACGCTCTTTGATAGCTTCCTCAACGACGATTTCAACGCTCTTGTCGTTCTTATCAGAAGATTCTCGGTCGGTTCTTTCACCCAGGGGCTCCTCCTCTCTTTGTTTTATAGAAACACTCACAGTATCAGATACAATCTTATCGATTTCTGCTGATGATACAAGCTTCTGGGCAGCATCAGAGGCTGGACCTGATTTCTAAAAGCAATCGTGTCTATCAGACATCATGGCCATGGTCCAAAAATATATAGGGACGCTATTTAATTCATCAATTTAGATAGGGTACCGTCGAAAACCCCTCCCCCTCAACAGATCGAGACATGATGAAATGTTAAATACCCGATGTCAGTAGTGACTTTTTCATGCACAAGTACGGTTATTTAGCATGCATGAAATTAGACAGTACATTCATTTCTGCGATTTGACATCCGGGATTTCACTTTCAGAGGTGATGGGCGATTACCGGATAATTCTTAATTTTTAAAAATGTGATAACCCGATTGATCACTAATTTATTCGCATCAGTGAGTGCGAAAGGAGATATTGAGATTAGCCCTATCGTGAATATCTCCTAGGGTCGAATTAGAATATTTAGTAGTTGGCTTTTGCTGACCTCTTTTGTAATTTTAGAACTGCCGCGCTCATTATCAGTGGTCGGGGGACTGGTACGCTCTCTTATTTTCTTCTCGATGGGTTTCTTGTTGACTCGAGGTTTTCCATTGTTTTCATCGTTACTACTAGCAGTTTCCTATGTTGAAAGAATAATAGGAAGTCAGTTCTCCAACCATTTGGACGTACATAACTGATTCCATGGTGGAAATACGTTAGAAATATGTTAGAAATATGTTGGAAATATCATAGGAAGACGTTGGATATTAGTAGGTGATGGTGCGTGCGTTTTAAAAAAAATTATTGGAAATACGTTGGAAATACAGTCAGTGTCATTAACGGTTGTCCACCGAAAAAAGACATTTAAACATTTACACATTTAGACTAAAGTGAGCCTGAACTTTAAATATAAAATTCAACTCGTTAATCGAAAATCCAGAATGCCCTGACCATTTAGTAAGGACTTAAGATGGAGAATTGTATTTCAGCGTTTGTTTTATGACAGAACGTTCGAAGAAACGCGTGATATTTCTTTTAGTCTAAATGTGTAAATGTCTTTTTTCGGTGGACAACGTTAATGACATTGACTGTATGTTGGAAGGAATGACTTAAGTCTATGATATTTCTACAGCTTGGAAACGACGCGTGCGCATTAATGACTACCGTATGGAAGTGTCGACAATACTGAAAACTTTTTAGCTTCGTTGTTTGTTGAGCACATTTCAGACCATGTGACGCCACTCTTGGGAGTTGATTCTTTCATGTGTAAATATTTTCACATGTTCTTCATAAAAGGACAATTCTCAAGGGAAGGCCATGGGATCTGAAATGGGCAATTTGCAAAAGGTCTGGTACGGTATGGAAATGTGTTGGAAGTCGCCATTTGAAACACTGATACTTCCATCATCTGTAGCGGGCACGTTTATTCCAGAGAATACTGGTTAAGATTTTAAAAGTAGTATATTTCTTACCTCATTGCTGCTGTAGCGTCTCTTAGATGCGCATGCCTCGCATGTCTTCGGTTTCATTTTGTTTGTCAGCGGTGAGGTCTGTAACAGTAGAAGGAGCTGACTCTGCTTCTAAAACTGAATAAAGAAAGCAGAAAAGGATATTTTGAGGGTCACGTTGGAAGGTTCTAGAAAAGTTAAATTAAGAAGTTATTGTGCGGGCCGAGGAAGGACAAGCGGAAACTTTATACATATAATAGCCACTCAATGTCTTTGTGAAGTTTAATACAAAAATACGCGTTTTTGTGGTGTCGAAATTCAAGTTTAATTACGATTACTAGCTGGATCTTGAGACAAGAGTTTATAACCTTCTTTTTAAGGTGGCCATCGGGACATGCAGCAAGTTGCTGTAAATAAGAAACGAGTTGCTGCAAATATGAAACGAGTTCAGTGCTGCAAATAAGAAACGAGGTCAGTGATGCAAATTAGCCGAAACGACGACTGTTGCTGCGGAGCAAATTAGACAAGTTGCTGCATGTTAAAATAATAAGTATATCACAAATTCTAATCGCATTAAAATATTATTTTACGAAAAATAAAAAAAATCTCAAGCGATTCTCATATCGTTAATAATGAGATTGCAATCAATTGACGTGTTTGTCTTTTCTTGAAACGTAATCACGAACGACGCTCTTCGTGGCATTCAGAAAATATCCTCATACTACCAAGGTATTATGATTCTGTGAAGAAACTTAAAGCAATTTCAATTTGAAGTGTTTGTTTTGAATTGTACTCGTATGACTCTTTAGAGAATGCCACGTGGTCTGAAATGGGAAAACATTAAGACCAAGCTAGAAGGATCCAATCTATTCTATTCTGATTTTGCGCATTATGTTTTGTGATATTTATTTTGAACTCATTTTCTAGTTCGACTCAAGTTCAAAGGTCGACTTGCGTCAGACCATGGTTCGGAAAAAAAAAAAGAATTGCGCCAAGATTTTACTGTAATATTTCTAAATTCGTTAAAGGATTTCTAGAGGAATCTTTAGGTACTTTAGGTTCACTTGTCTCAGCAAAACAAGGTCAGTTTCAAGCGCCATGAATATAAACTTTGACCTTCTACTTTGCTGAGGGAAAACGAGATGAGAGGATTACTGACGAGTTCGCTACCTCAACAAACAGATAGTATCTCCACTTTGGTTTACGTATTTGAATCTTTATATTAACGCAAAATAGAAACAACGACACGGAAACGTATGTTATGCAGGAAAACGAAATAATTATAGCCTGGTGTGTAATATCTTAAATGCTCAATATGTACTGATGGCATTGAAGGATTTTCCTTCATCTTCTGCCTTAGTTACGCATTATTTACCGCCATCATGATTTCTACCAAAAATATTTCTAACAAAACAATAAAAAAGTAAGAAATTGATAATATTTTATAGTCTGCTGGCCACAGCGGTCGTTAGTTCCTTAAAATATGAGCAGCCAATGTCGCATAGTCTAGATCATTCAGTCAGAAAGGAAAATTCTATTGAGTACCTACCCAATTTTTCTTATGAACCTTCGTGTTTGATTTCTGACAATGTAGAATCGAAATATTATGAACTTTCAACCGATTCTCTACATTCTTTGTGCGATATAACACCCACTGTGATTGGCCTGTTACTGACAGCTGACAAGTTCTATATATATAAACTAGATATAAAGCGCGCTAGGATTCGTTTGTTGCTTTTGATACAACGAGTACTTAAAAAAAGGCTGATTTCCCGCAAAGAAACAGGCCGCGTTGTCTACGCGACAAGTACTGACTTAGAAAAGAATACTTCTGGTGTAAAAAAAATCACTCTCAGGACTTACTGAATTTGTGAAAAAACAAAATGAAAAAGTTTTAACTTTCTGATTCTTAGGAAAATATATTATACACCCCATTTCAAAAACACTTGTCGGAGCCAAAAGGAGATAGGTGATAGGTGATTCCAAGACCGAGAGGAATAATGGGCATACAATTAAGAACGCAAAATCAAGGCCTTTGAAATGGTTTCATCGACCGACAACGCGTTTTTAGCGAGAGTAATACTAGTAAGAAAAACCTTTATTACTGCTATTCTTAGATCTTGGAATGGCCTATCGTCTATCACCTATCCCCTTTGGCTCCACAACCTATTTTGGCACATTGCGGCTCATGTATAACAAATAGAATTGATCCCTAATTGCTATGACTAACATTTATTTTATGACTTCAGTTACGGCGGTCGGAGCACCCTTCGATGTGTGCGCGTGTCAATGTGCTTTATAAGTGGGGAGGGGGGGGGGGGGGGGGGGGGCGGGGGGGGGGCGGGCAGGGGGGGGGGAGGAGAGCCCCAGAGCCCATCCCAGCACCAAAATTAACTTGATTTCAATATTAAACTAATATGACTTTACTTAACTTATTATTTCTATTCTCCTCTCTGTATTGAACTAATTAATTACATGAGCTGTATTTATAATAATTCTATGACAGGTGTCATTCTATAATCAATGTGATAATATCGTTGAATCATGATTGGCTAAAAGAATAAGTAAATTCCTGAGCGCGTGATATCTTAATAAAGAGTAATACGAGCTTAAGTAATACGATTAAACAGAGCTTAAACTAAAGTTAATATATGAATATATTGTAAATGTATAGAGAAGCCTACGAGGAATATTTCTATCATAAGACTCAAAAGAATAGTGATAAAATAACTAAGCAAAGGGATAGAAACTGTGTAGGGCGTAACCAGAGGTACAAATGCTAATAGGAGGAGCTTAAGAGGATTACTTGTGAATTCAATGAATACCATTACTTTGTGCGTGATGGTAGCCTTGCTGAAATCTTATATCGATATTTTTATATACCTAATCGATTATTCTTTATCTTGCTTTAATAGGATAAGTAATAGTAATTAGAAAGCTGATATCTTGCTTAGTTTGTCTGTACAAATATTCATTTTCCCTCTCATAACAATTTATTAGTACGGACGGTAGATTATCAAATTATACCACTCAAAAAAGCTACAATGAATGACAATTAAGAGTTGTTTTAACAAAAAAGCCTTAAAAACTGATCGAGTCTGTTTATTAAGTGAACTTTCAGTGCACGGAAGAGGCATTTTCAGAAGCGTTTTCAATCTACGTCCTCGGCAAAAATTACATTTATGCCAATAAATGCGCAGGGAAAGTGGGTTGGAAATTCGATCTTTAAGTATCATTTGCTGCAAGTGTTCCTTTGTGGAGCGTCGTTTTCATTTATGTCGATGTGTAATTGTTCAGTCATGATTTGAATTAAAAATCTCATTCGCCAAGAAAGCGCAATTCAGCAAATCATTCTCAATAGTAGCTATGGAGTCTGTCTCTTTAGGCGAATCTTTCTTTGTAGGTTTTGAACTCCAAGCTATAAAATGGTTACTTTTGAAATGGCAAAATTTGAAGTTGTGTTTACAAAGGAGTTCTACTGAATTCTCCATGCAGCACACATTGTTAACGTAACGGACTTAAATTAAGAGAGCAGAATTTGTATACTTGTTTATGGAAATCTAGACAACAGATGGAGAACGAACGTGTAGAGCAGAATATAAAATATGGTGACAGAATAAGCCAATCATTGGCAAGACTTGAAAGGAAAGCAAGGATAGAGCAAAAACAACGTTGTCTGGGGTCCACCAATATATATGACTAGATGATATACATGAAAACAAATATGAGAAAATTGCAGCAAATTTGTTTTCTGCGTTCAGTTGCTGTTTGAAAAAACGAACTTGATTTTTTTAAATACATTAAGATGGATCAAACTTGATTTAATAGAAAAAAATATTGACATAGCAAAACAAAAAATAAAACAAATAAAATATAAAAAACATACGTATTGTTGGTGATTCAAATATAAAACCCGCGCAATCTTGAGTCTATAGAATACCGTTTTTTGCTCGTTTTCTGCTTTGATATAAATCGGAGGGAAAGAGCCATTTTGTTTACAAAAATACAGACGAGACTCATCGTTAAATTCACGTGGAAAAACCGGCGAGAGTGAACCTCGTTTAACACAACTTCTTTATATTACTCACTAGCTACCGCCACTGTTGATAGCTTGTCCGAGTCTAAACTTACCAGATAATGCATTTAATATATATCTTGTGCTTGATAAAACTCTATCCGCGCTGCTTTTGGTAGCACGGAAAAACCTCGATTCTTCAGCTGTCAGTGATGTTTTCAGTTCATATTCATTCGGCTTCACTCTTTTTAGCAGTGTTTTCAAGCTGTGTTTATAGTGCAACCGATGCTAGGGTTTTTATTGCACTCAATGAGATCGATTTTGCTTCAGGTTGTAGACTTTTTTTAAATTTGAAAATAGATAACTTTGATAGGGCTTCAAGCGAACGAGAGGAAGTCTTTTGTTTTTCTTTAAATATTGCGGTCGTAAAAACAACATTAGCAGGGATGGAAGCAGAATGATGTATGATAACGTTTTCGATATATCTTGTAATAATAATGAGTTATATATACCTCTTTACTTTAGACGTAATGTTTTTTACCATTCCAGTCTACATGTCATTCTCTTGAGAATAAGATTCTTTGTTTTAGTTGTATCCTTTTTCATGCGTCTTCTCATGCGCAACCGTTAAACGAAGAAATGATACTCTTGGGAATGGCAAGTGGTTTGATGAGTGGGCAAAACATTACGCTCAAGAAATGCAGTCGGTGATTCCTGTGTTCCTGCTATACATGTAGTGTCATACGACTAAAGCTTAGTACTCAAATATGAATTTTAGATGCCCCCAAAACATGTTTAACCGTCATCACCCTTCACAAGTTCACCATTGCTTGTCTTCTCACGAGATATCAAATGTTCAGCTCTCGTCGTTGTTATAGTGTTGGTTCACAACAAATTAATTTATTGCTGACATCGCTCCTCACAGCTGGATATGGCTATCCGATTAAGCACTTCACTTTAAATTTTCAATAAAAATTCTATTAAGATTTTTTAATATATTGACTTGAACTTTTGATCCATTAACTACAAATAAAGTAACATGTTGACAGTCTTAGTTTATAGCTGACATTTTCTTCCTCGCGTTATTTTTTGGCTCTTTTTATTTCTAAATGAATTTTCTTTTTTCCATACTCGAATTCAATTAGCAACAGAACTGAAATAGGTGATAATCAAACTGAGGGGTGCTGTTTTTAAGAAGCGCAATTTATTTCTGAAAGCCCTAAATGAAGGATTTGAACATTGGCTAATTTAGGAGTTGCTTGTCCTTTAAATCTCGAGTTTTAAACTGCGGAGAAGTCTACAGGGATTATTTTTTCTTTTGACGACTGATGTGGCAAAACACCTGCAAATAACACATTCAAACGTGCACTTCTACACGTTATTCAGCTCTTGAGCCTGCGGTGTTCTAGGCAGGGATTCCAACTGCTTGAGGTTGTTTTGATTGGTGGCTCCATTTACAATCTAGGCGCGCAATGCATTAATTTGTTCGTCACAGCGAAATTTCCGTCAAAACCAAATATCTTTAATCAACAACGACCAATGTGATATTCCTAAAAGATATTTGATGATTTTTTAAAAATCAGTATTTTCTTTATTTTTGAGTCTAAGGAAGACCGAAGGTAGGAAACATACAGTCAATTAAAAAACGTTGTCGTCGACCGACTCAAGCCTACGCGACTGGACCGAAAGGAATATGGGTAAAAATCACTGAAGCAGTTAAATATTCGTTCTCAATTAATTGTTCCCGCTAGTAATAAGATAATAATGGCGAGAAACAATCCATCAAATGCATGTATTCGGGTTTAGGGAAAGAAAAACAAGGTAGTTATGATTCAGCTGTACAATTTCGAAAATATGAAAAGGCATTAAAAAAACGTCTCCTTCAACACTTCCCGCTCGCCTACGAAGGTTCGTGCTGTAAACCAGGCATAACTAGTCAGATAATATTAAGGAGTCAACTCGGCTTCAATTATTGCTAGAGTTCCTTATGGTCCAGTTGCGTAGGCTTGAGTTGCTCGACGACAACATTTTTTGAATTGACTGTATGTTGAGCCTATCAACAAAATACCCACTGATTGATAATGCGTACGGGCTGACAGAAATGAAATCACGCTATTGAACAACGACAATTAAAACAACTTACCTAAATTTAATTGATGTAAGTCTTTCTTCCTTTGTTTTGTGGTTTTTGTTTGTTTGATTGTTTTGTTTTGTTTACTGAATCAAAGCTCGTTGGTCGTACCTGTTCGTCCTCTATTTCAAGAAAAGTTGTCGGTACGATCGGAGGTCTGAAATCAGCAATCTGAGACAAAACGGATTAGTCGTGCTTTTATTTATTTTTCGTTATTAATTAAAGTACGGAAAATCACATTTCTAACTCAATAGTACGTCATTCTTCGTATTCCAATCTAAAGGGAAATTACGTTGTTCGCCATTGAATATACTACAATTTGCAGCGTGTTACTCCATCTCAGATTTCAAATTTAATTTCAGATCTTCGACCAGTAACGTTTTTTGAAACAGGTGTTTTAACTTGGTGTATATTTTAGCCCTTTCTTCCGTCATATTCCTTTTTTCCGTTCCTCTTTTCTTGCTTTTCCTATTTCCTTTTCAGTACCCCTTTGTTTTTACCACAAAATACAAACTGATCTTCTTGTTTAGAATTAAACAAATGCACAAAAAATCAGGAAATTATTAAACGACTTTGTCTGATAAGAATAAGCCGGAGGAAGGCAGCATTTGAGTAACAGCTTTATTTTATTTTTATCTCCTATAATCTTGAAATTAAGATAGTATATTTGCATGATATACACGTAACTGCAAGAACGTTGTCATATAAAAATAAAATAAATAAAATTCAATATTACTATTAGTATTACTTTTTTTTAAAAATCAAAATGAAAAAACAGGTTTGATTATTTCACTATTTCAAAGGTATAGACTAGCAATTTCGATATTACCTCGTCGGTATATACTAAAACAGCTATTCTTATCGATCTAGGGGGCTTTACTGAATCCGAATAGAAAAGGTTTTTCTAATAAATTCCTATTTGTTATTTTGTTACTTTTTTTTAATTATTTTGGACGACAACATTCTTGCAATTAGGTGTATATTAGAAATATCAAATCAGTAGAAATATATATACAAATTTTGGCATTACGTTTTATGAAGGATACCCGTTATATTTTTATCTCATTTAGTATCTCMTTTTAGATCTTTGGTATTTTTCCAGAGCTTTCCATTTTAGCTTTTCTTCTCGGATCTTATCTTTTCTTTTTCTAAGCTGTGTTTACGTGTCAGTGGTTGATAGCCAATACAATTGAACATGAGCTTGGCCAGTCTAGTGTAGTATCTTATTCATATCCGTTTAGTATTAAGATCGAAATCTTTAAAAAAGGCAACTAATAGAGATCGGAAAAAGATATCACACATCGCAGTCTTAAACTGAACTTCTTGCTGCAATTTTTTTTTTCTTGTTTCAGAGGAAAATTAAATAATTTTTTCCCCCGGAATATTATCGGCATCGTAAGCAAAGCAAAAACGTAGACCCCTTTGATCACAATTTTCAACCGTTCTTAGTGTTTAAATTGATTTTTTAAGCTGATCTAGGTAAAGGCAGACAACTGAGGTTCAATCGGACATACCGGTTTGCATGATGTTATTTTACTCCCACTACCAATATGCTTCGCGAATTGTCTTTCTTATTTCTAAGTCCACAATGGCTCACGGCAGGGAGAAAACGAGGCATCGAACCCTAAAACAACCTCTTGGCTGAGTTAACGTCAGGGCACGGCTAACTCACAGATCGAACCCTGAAACAACTTAACCTCTGGGCTGATCTAAGTCAGGGCATGGGTAACTCACAGATCGAACCCTGAAACAACCTCTTGGCTGATCTCAGTCAGGGCACGGCTAACTCACAGACCTAATCCTGAAACAACCTCTGGGCGGATTTAAGCTAGAACAGGAACAGCTTGATTACAGGTGGAATTGGTCAACTTTTACTGAAAATTTACCAACTGTAAAATCTTCACTAGCTAAATAAACGAAAATGCTTTCTTTTTTATCAATAAAAGTTGTTATATGTAAGGGTTTAAAAGCAGCCAAATTTTTCTTGCCTTTCTCACGTGTATCAGGACCCCAGGACATCAGTTATGTAACCTTTTGGTGTGATGAAYGTGCACTTGGCCCGGTAGAGAGTTCTTAGTTCTTAATTGTTTCTCTAATGGAGAGTAAACTTCAAGAAAGCGTGAGACAATTATTCAGCTTGATTGATTCCCGGAGGACTGTGATCTGCGTTAACTCATCCTTTGAATTTCCAAAATGAGTTGAAAATTAATTTATAGTGCGCAAAATTGGCCTTTTCGTAGTAAGTTACAGAATGCATTGCAGCATGGGGTTGTTTAGGGGACGCTTCTAAGGGGTCTTCATCGCTTGATGACAGTAAAAAGTACGGTAAATAAGCAAACATTTCCACACGTATCTTGAGTCTGAATCCGCAACTTTTTCTTTGACGATTGGTCTTCCGTCTACGTCACGTATCTGGTAAAACTGTTGCGGCTTCAAAAATATTTCGATACGTGAAAGGGTTCGAAATAACTAGATATTCTAGTAGAAGATTTTCAGCTAAAACCGTTGCACAAAGTTTTTTAAAGAAATTAGAGGAACTAACACAGGAATAGCTTGAATTAAATCAAAATACCTGTTATTGGAAGTCCATTTCAGCTGAATAACTACGAAACAAACGGCTGTTGTTCTCCATTCTATTGCTATCGAGGATTGTCGTAGCTATACTCCGTGCGTGGCTTTTCCATGTCATCAAACTGACGTTTCCTTTCTCGCGACCAATCAAATTTCGCGACTGAAGTGAGTAGGCGACACGGACGTACCGACGCCTCCGAACAAATGGTTGGATTTTAGTTATTGTCATCTTTGGATTCTTGATTTCATAATTCAATTCGAGCATTAATTATTGAAAACGAAGCCTTCAAAAGCCTAGACTATACAAAAGGCAAGAACAACTTTTTGTGCAAGGAATATGCACGGGCACGGGTTCAAATCCCGTTCAAGACACAGAAGTTTTTCTGAGTCTTTCAATTTGCAGCTGCATAAGTTGCTTGATATACTGCGAGGATCAGCTCAATTTGATACATTACAACCGCAGTACAAATATATATTTCATATATATTCTTATACAAATATGTAATATTAATGTCGACTTACCTTTTGTTTCCGCTAAAAACAAGAGCATACAGTCTAAGTTAATTTTCAAACTACTCTTCCAATTTGAATATCGAACGCTTCGTTTTCAATAATAAAGTTAAAATCGAAAAATGAAATCAAGAGTCCAAATAAAAAAGGATCATTTATAACCTCTGCGTGTTCACGCTTGAGGTGGTTTGACTGTAACGTTACATCAACACTCTCTTAAGTAAATTCCCGTTTTCATTTTTCTCAAATTCAATTTAGGTGGGCGGGAAAATGCACTGGGCACTAATCGCTTTTATTAATGTGTTCTAATGATGATCCACAAGGAATGCAAAGCCATCAATTTAATGAATGAATGAAAGATTTTACCTGATCAATTTAACACGGCCCTCTAGTGAAATACCGTATTTAGCTAAAGTTGTTATAGCAACCGCACGTACTTTCTTTTCGTCGACGGATGCACTTTAAGATGTTGACCTAATCCAATGTTTTCCCATTTTTAGAACACCTGTCATTCCCTAGTGTATCATTTCTTTGTTTAACGGTTGTGCATGAGAAGACACAAATATGGATACTACTCACACGAAGTATCTTATTCTCAATAAAATATTTCGACATGTAGCACGAGCTATATAA